ACTCCACCCGTGCACGGCAGCTTAAGACGTTTTTACAAGCATGCAGCTGATTTCTGTTTCAAGTACGCATCGTTAATTACGTATTTCGGTTACACATAATTACGGTAAAACCGATAGTATGCAAACAATGATGCAAAGCAGCTGGATAGAGCTCTTTTTTTGAATACAATAAAATAATTTGATAAAACATATCGTCGCAGATGGAAAAAAAATTCAACTTCTGCATTTGTGATCTTTTGTAACAGATTGCCCGATCATGTGAGTTTAGAGGAAGGAGCGCTTTTAGAGCCATTGTCAGTGGCAGTACACACTTGCAAACGGGCTGAAATCGGAATCAATTCCAAAGTATTAATTCTGGGTGCTGGCCCGATCGGTTTGGTGACGTTGCTGGTAGCCAAAGCCATGGGCGCGAACAAAATAGTTATTACGGGTATGTGTTTAAAGAAAGGATGAAATTTGAGGCGAAAGAAAAATATATTTTAACCTATGTTTTAACAATTTTTTTTATTATCAATCAATACTTCAAGTAATCATTACATAATCATGACATAATATGTTAATAAATAACAAAATTATGATGGAAAATAAATGAAAAATTATATCTCGTCTACAGTCTTACGAAACTAACTGTGATATCAAAATTCAGTTATTTTCTCAAAAATTATCTGCATTTTATTAAATATATTGAGTTCTTATTATTAATAGTATTAAAATAGTATTTCAGTATTTTTTTTATTGAAGTAAAGTAAACGCGATACATAACGACATGTTGTCACTTAATGGAAAATTCTGCAGTCACTACGTTTGTATATCGCACTGCGATAACAGAAGTTTTAACGATATATTAAAAATCCGTTTGCGAAACGATTAGTAGATATCAAGTTATGTAACTGTCAATTTACGTAATGACGAATGACGAGAGAAGAACGTCCACGTTGCTGATAGCTAAAGCCGTTATGGGCGCGAACACAGTAGTTATCACGGGTATGTGTTTAAAAGATAAAATTTGAGGCGAAAGAAAAAAAATTGTCAATCTATGTTTCAACAATATTCTTTATCATCAATCAATACTTTAAGTAATTATAACAAACAACTAAAAGATATGAGATAATACGTTAATAAATAACAATTACGATGGAAAATAAAAGAAAAATTAAACCTCATCTTATATTCTTACATATAACTAACTGCGGTATCGAAATTCTGTTATTTTCTCAAAAATTCTCTGCATTTTATTAAATATTGGGTTTCTATTATGAGTTAAAACTTGCGATATAGAGCGACATGTGGTCACTTAACGGAAAATTCTGTAGTGATTGCGTTTGTATATCGCGCTGCGATAACAGAAATTTTAACGATATATCACAAATCTGTTTGCGAAACGATAAGATATTAAGTTATAGTAATTGTCAATTCATGTAACAGCAAATGAGAGAAAAACATTCACATTGTACATTCAAGATGTGAAGTAGTGGAGTAGTGGTGTTGCAATCGATCGCGAGATAAAACTTCATGAGGTTGCATTTAGCATGATAAATAGATACTACTTGTGGAACCGAGGTCACGCAGTCACAAAGTGTTACGTCTAGCAGTCATTTTTCTATTGCAAATTTGAACTACGCATTGAAGACATAGAGCGCTGTCTTTTCAAAGAGGCCATCTTTCTTCCTAAATAATGCATATTTCCTCTTTTGTAGGTAGCACAATGCGTTTCACAAGTAGCACATGTTCTCCCTCGAAGAATTCTAAATGCAAGCCTATACAACTTATAAATAAGATGTAAAACGCGATTTATGTTTATAGATATGTTGGAAAGTAGACTGAACGTAGCGAAGAAGCTCGGCGCCGACGGCACGTATCTGGTGCAAAAGAATAGATCGGAGGAGGATACAGTGGCTGACATTCATGCAATCTTCGAGGGTGAACCTAACAGGACGATAGACGCTTGCGGTGCACAAGCCTCCATTCGTTTAGCGATTTTCGTAAGTTACGAAATACATCTTTTTAAAAATTAGATGATTTAAAATTAGTTGGCTAGTAGAGAAATTAGATTAATCATATTTGTATTATATCAGGCGACTGAAACCGGTGGAGTCGTGGTGTTAGTGGGATTGGGTGCACCAGAGGTGCAAATTCCACTGGTAAATGCCCTGACGAGAGAAGTCAACATCAGGGGTGTCTTCCGATATGTAAATGAGTAAGTTTCAATTAGTTAAGAGTTGTACGTTAAATAGAAAAGATATAACCAACTCTGATACTTCATGACAAATAAATTCCAAGATGATTGCCGTGCCAAATTAATTAATACGGCGGAAAATAGCCTCAGAAAATTGCAATCAAGAGTTCTGTAGTTTTTAATTTATTAAATTTTCACAGATGAATTATTTTAACGCTTGATAGGAGATTATTCTATATGATCTTTTTCCCGATTCGTAGCTACAACGACGCATTGAATCTCGTCGCGTCTGGCAAGGTAGACGTGAAGCCGTTGATTACTCATAATTACAAGATAGAGGAGACCAAGCAAGCCTTTGAAACCAGTAGGACTGGAGCAGGCGGAGCTATTAAAGTTATGATCCATTGTAAATAGACGAATCGCAAGATTCTGAGTACCAAATGCAACCGTAAGCTTCTGTGAGAAATGAGCTACATGTAAAGTTTTTATATTGCGACATGTTAACTGAATTTTGCTATTTTTATCAATTATTTTAATTTGGCGTTTAACTTAATCGAGATATGGAAATGGAGAGACGTCTACATATATTTATATCAACGTGGATATATCGCATTTTGACAGAATGTTTTAACACCGAATCTTTCACCACATTATCTCGTGTAACATTGCATTGTGCGAAATGTTAATTTATATGGGATGCATAAAAGCATTTTTAAATACCATTGTATAGAGCTCGCGTACATACGTACACGTGGATGCGCGACAATGGCTCAAAAGAATAGTGATATCCTTATGCAAGAAACTACTGTAATTGCGAAAAAAAACATGCACACAAAACTATAGTAATTACTGTAATATTTACTACAGTTTCGTGTACTTTTTGTGTACCGCAACTACAGTAGTCTTTCTGTAGTATTTTTTCGTAAGGGTGTAAGGATCAAAGCGACTAGTGAATTTTAGTTAACAATACAAATAATGTACATGTTTGGTGAATATTTTCCCAACAAAACAACGATATCTCTTATATGATCAATAAAGTCTTATCTCTGAATTTTTGTACAAAAAGAAGGATATCTGCTGACATAATTATTTTTTTATATTCCTAAAATTGATTTCCTACAAAAATTATATTCTAATATCCTATCACATTTAATATTTATAGACTTAAAGATAATATATGTCGTTTCAAAAATATTTCATTTTTGTCACGAAGAGAGGCAGCCGATTGCATACCAATCGTAATTCGCGAGCTAACATATTTCGGTATTTATATATCCTTTATATCCCCAAAATTTATTTCCTACAAAAATTATATTTTCTCTTTTAATATATCTTATAACATTTAATTGATCAAGATACTATCTGTCGCTTCAAGAATATTTCATTTCTTTCACGGTGAAAGGCAGCCATTGCATGCCGATCGTAATTCACGAGAGTGTAGAAAATGCAACGAATTATGCAAAATGCAACGAGTGTAATATCTAATGCAGAATGTAAATTTAAGATGTTTCTTAGCGATTGTTGAAATATTGTATATCGAATTATTCAACAATCGCTAAGAAACATATCAAATTTCTGCAGTAAATAATACTCTTGTGTTGGATTTTGCATAATTCGTTGCATTTTCTACACTCATCCCCCTGCCTCCCTTCCTCTCTCTGAAAACCGATCGATAGCCTTCATCTCTCGCGAAACGCAAAAGGCGCGAAGTGAAACGAAAGAGTTCAAAGCTAATTACCGCGACACGATTGGTCCGCCGTTTCGGAGCCCGCCAATCGCAGGCGTCGCTGCTCGGTGGGCTCCGAATCGTGAATCATTCACGGCTGCGTCGCGACGACTCGAGGTACAGTGTTCGTCTCGCTCCGTGTTTCTCGCGTCCGTTACCGTCCAAAATTGAATCTCGTGCGTCAGAAACGATCGCGAACGTCTTCCGCGCCGCGTCAGACGTTCGTCGCGATGCAGGCGTCGCGCGCAGTCGCTGGCGGACGCCGATATCGCGAATATTCCGAACTCTCGGAGCCGCGCTGTTCGGAAGCTCGCTCGCGCACCTCGCTCCGCTCCACCTTCGAGGTGCCGCGAAGATGCGGCTGGTGCGCAATCATTGTCAGGTATGTGCATGTGAATCATCATGCGTGATCATATATGGTCATAATTAATCTCGTTACTTCGTCATATTCGAACTGGAGTGTCTTTGGCAGCGTCTCGTCGACGCTGGCTGCGTTCGCTTTGGGCGCTTTCGTGCCGAAAGCGTCAGTCTATCTTTATTGCTCATTACTTGTTGAAAAAAGATGGAGTGATGCTTTCAGCACGAATGTGTCCAAAGCGAACGCAGCCGCTATCATTCAAAATGTACGGAAGCGTTTCATTGGTGCTGTCGTGCCTGTCGTATCGGCACTGTGATTCGCGTGAAGAAGTCGCCATTTGGAAATGGCGGACGGCGGACTTCGCGGGAAGGCGGAAATGTTCGTGTTCATGCTCGTGCCGGTTCGTGCCTCGTGCTTCGTGCGGCGTTTTAACATCGTTCGGTACGATCGTTCGTTCGATATACGAATGTGAATGTTTAAACGACAAAATATATTTCGCATAATTGTTACACGAAGCGTGTAACAATTTACTTTGACTGCCGAGTTTGCAAGTTATTCGTGTCGATTTGTGCGGTGTCGAGTATGCGCGATTTGGAGGTTAGGAGTCGTCGAGTCGCGAAACTGGACAACACGTATTTCGCTCGTATGAATTATGGATACGCATTCGCGGACGAAACTTGTGTAGGAGAGACGGGAAAAATTAATGGAGCCGAATGAGATTCGAACTCGGGATCCTTCGTTCTCACGCCTAGGTTAGGTTGCTACTCCACGACTACTCCACTACTAACAATAAGTTTACCTCTCCGATCTGCTATTATATTAATACCTAATTAGTCTTATGATCCTAAATTCTTACACTTGCGTTAAAAATTTTTGACTGCGGATTTGACGAAGGTTTGTGTAACGATGTATTTCATTTGTGTGAAATTCGTATCGGAAGCTCAAAGTTTCAATTGAGATTTGCACCTTTGTATTAAAAAAGATTGTACATTAAATGGTAAAAAGATGTTTACTATATTATTATACTTAACGTAATAAACATGCACAGTACTTTGTACATGTGCAAATAAATGTGTAATGTATAATTTTAATTCAAAGTTATGTCTTATCAAGCTATAGAACCATTCGATTATAAACGAAACAAATTCTCTTGACTAATAAATGTAAATTTTGAAAATTGTTACAGATTGGAGCCTTCGAAAACCTGATGTCATTGTTTTTGTTGAAAATTACGAGTTGTGACTTCATTATATGTTCAATCCGACTCTTGGTGAGAGCGTCGACTGACAGTTATGAAGATTATGAATTTGAAAAGATTAGATGAGAGCCTGAAGTTCAATATATAAAAACTTTTTAACATGCAAATTCTGTATGTTACAAATGTTGAGATCTTCCTCAAGGAAAGCTCGATTACACTTCAGTGTTTAATACCAATGATAACCAAAGGAAAAAGATGGCTGGAAAATTATATCTATAATCCAGGTAAATTAATAATCTGATGTGTTTCATAATTGACGATATTTTATAATGCGAAAGATTTGTTTTTAATAATCTAATTTATTCTTATTTATTCTTGTTGCAGGATAATGAAAAGAAAATCCGTCATCAGCATTTAGAAACAACCTGGAACAACCGTGTTCAAAGTTATATGATGTGCACGTTCATTATGATGTGCACGGTTACAATAGGAAATATATAGCTTGTAAGTTATCTGTACATTTCATTTTAGACATATATTTTCATACATTAATGTTCTCATTATAATCACATGTCATCTATGTGTTGTTACAGATAACAAAGTACATTGAGAAACTTAAGAATAAAATCTTTGTTGTGAACTTTCTTCTGTCATTTTGGAAAGGACTGGAACTTGTAATAAAGGTAAGTTAAAAATCAAATTAACTTTATCATTACCAAGAAGAAATATATTTTATGTGTATCCATGACTAATATTTAACATTTTATTACCTTACCCGAAAAATAAATAAAATGTCGAAGAAAATGAATTAATTTACAAAAAAATGTGATTTTATATATTTTATTAGAAGCATTTATTCATCTCATTGATACTTATATTTTTATAGAATATGTGGAGCTACTAAAAATATATATAGAGAATATCTTGGTATTGCTGAGGTTAATAAATATTTTTTGCATGATCTTTTTTTGCATTTATGCATGTTGTTTGGCATTATGTACAATTTCCTCAAAATGCTGTGTTACACTAATATGAGTGCTATAACACTCAATCTGCACATATTGACGAGACAATTTATTATACGAAGTCATACATATAACAATAAAATGTTTTCTGTGTAACATAAAATAAGAATTAGTCAAAATTAAAAGAGATAGCTTACATATTTAACAGTACTGCTCTCAAAAGTTTTATGTTCATTTAAGAAAATATTTCCAGCATTTTAGATCGAGTAAAACTTTAAAAATCTAAAAACCGTCATGCATTTTGTTGAAGACTTAGAAGTCTTTTATATTATTTAAATACTATATTTTACTAGTAATAGACATGTGAAATATTTTATCACTTAAAGTAAAGGATTCATAAATGTACTTTCCGACAAACATCGGGTTTATTCTTCAATATATAACTAAATATTATCTAGTCGATGTTTTTTGTGATAAAATACTTTGGTTTGCTATCAACCGGTAATTCACACTGATATCAGTCGACGTACAAAAGAACGTTAAGTGGCTTCACGCACTAGCACTGAATAGCGAGCATAGGGCGATGAAAATCGTTTTAACCATCTGCAGTATTGTCCACTAACAATAGCACTGCGTGACTTCTTCTATTAGCCTTCTACATTACCAAGTGCATACTTCAGACCTACATTTATTCCACCCTATTCATTCCAAGGTTCTTTAGTTATACCCCAGTAAACTGCCGAGTATGTATCGTTAGTCTTTGCTTAAGGTCACTTTAATTAATAACAAATTGGTTTAAAGATTAATCACATATGTTAGACAACAATGAATGATTGGTTAAGGGATATTATTAGCTATCCTTGAAAATCTTTTTGTTAAATAAAAATAAAAGTAAAGATTTTGAATATTGTATTATTTAAAAATGTATTATTTAAAATTAGGCACAACATCGAAAAAAAAAATGAAATTGTTATTAAATAATCACTAACTTTAGTGAATAATTGCTTTCATTTGTTGATAATCTGTCACTATTGGTGTAAGAAGAAGGGCTTCGCGAAGTCTCGCGTCCATTTAATACACACAAGCGGTTAGCTGCGTGCTCTTAGCTTTGATAATGGAACAGCGCGACTCCTTTTATTAGCTCTCCGCGTTACCGAGTGGTACTTGACGAATATTTGTCCATCCGGTGGGTGAGCGCCAACATATAACTTTCATATGTTCCATTTGCACGTACCGTTCGTCGTTGGAAATTAAGAACGACAAGAAGTTACCGAATAGATTTTCTTCCTTTTCGATTTTATCTTTTTGACAATAATAAATCTTGCTTCAAGACAGTTTTGTTTAAATTAAAATACACACTATTTACTTGGTTACTGGAAATCATATCTCGCAAATTTTCAATTTCTATGATCATATATCGGCGAATCGAAATTGAAATTAAAGTTAAGTCTTCTGTTAATGGATCGAAAAACAAATTTTTATGTATTAAGAACTTATGCATTAAGAAATTTTCTTCTAGCTTAATTAACTCTTTATGTTTTATGTGATGGTAATCTTATTTTTTGATATTAAATATCTTTATATATGATTAGATCTCTTTAAATTTTTTACTCGAAAAAACATTGAAACTATTTGTATATTTGATAAAAAAATCTGACATTACAATTTTATCCGACGATAAATAATTTATATATTAATTTAATATCGTTTATTAATTAGTGCCTTGTACAAATTTCTTATGTACTTTAACGCTATAATTGCAAGTTGCTGATATATTTAGCTTCGAGATCGTTTTTTTAAATGGAAGTGTCCGTCATTTGCAAATGCAGGATCGCGGAAAATTTTCCCTCGTTACAAAAGTTGCTCGTTACGCGAATGTAAAATTTTTTCGCTCTCGCTAAACGGAACGGTCATAATCTCGGATATTCGTAGTGCGAGAGCGCACCTCGCGCTGCGTGTTACATTATCGGAGACGGCGGATAATTAATTAGAGTGCCGGCGCAAACAGCAGGCAGGTTCGGCAGGAGGACGACGGACCTACCATTCCCGTTCGTCCGGGAACTTCGGCGTACCTTGCGCGTCCATGGCGCTCGCTATGGTGCAAATATAATCGACAGCATTTCCCACGAGAGCACCGACGGTGCCGGTTGTGCACACGAACGTTCACCGCGCGGACCACGTTGACGTGGTGGTTGATGTTTCCTTGTTGGAAGCGTGGCTTCCGAGTTTGCCCGCGCATATTTGCATGGCTGGGATAGAGAGACACGACGGTATATACATTTAATCGCTTCGATAACCGATCGCCCGTGTTTGCCTGTCGCTGTTCGCTTTTGAGTCTATCCAATTGGATTGACTTGCGAATGGTCCCGTTGTTCGTTATTAAGCCTGGTCTACATAGGCCGCAGTTCGCAAAACGCCAGACACACGCACAGTCTACGTGTGAGTTTTGCGAACTGCGACCTATGTAGACCGGGCTTTAAGGAGCTTGTAAATCAGTCACCAACATCCGCGCGGCGTTCACGTGCTTTATCTTAATTATTGTGTACTTTTTGTTCGGTCGAAGATTTGGTAGCGTTATAAAAATTTTATTAAAAATGATATATTTTTACGTTATACGATTTTCTGTTCAGCTAATTTGATTCTGCTCGAGTTTACACTGAGAAAAAAATATTTAGATAAAAAAAAATATTTATTTAGACGGCTCCTAAGAGCTTATTTACTTAATGTAATACACATATTTATTTAGAATTAGATATTTTTATTTAAGATAAGTAGAAATATTTAATTCTAAATAAATATGTGTATTATATTACGTAAATAATACCTAATAAATATTTTTCCGGATTTAAATATTTTTTTTTTCAGTGTATCTATGCCGGCTGTGTGTTAAACTCATTTATCGTTATATTACAATCTTGCTGCCTTTTCAGAATTATACTTCGAAGGTTGCATGGCGAGTTTGGAACTAATTATATAATTATAAATATATTATCTTTTTTACAATTTCTTTACTTTCTACATGAAATATTTTTATCGCTCAGAATTCGTCTTATAAATTATAATTGTTTATTAAAATAATTAGCGACATTCCAAGAATTGTCATTTTTCTTATTTTAGTCTCCATAACTTGGATAGACAGTATACGTCTTTCAGGATATCATACGTAACGTCGATCGATGTCTTCTCCGTATAGAAGTTAATACATGCAGTTTACATTTACTTTGCGGTTTTCTTGCACGTGCACGTGCACCTTATGATATTTTACGCAGGGCTGCATTTTGGCATAAGCGGAAACTGTGGTGTTCTCGTATCAATCTTGCGGTCTGGCAGTTGTGAGTCGCCCGAGTATAAAGAGATCCTAGCCAGAAACCTTAAAACTGAAAGGAATACGCGGATAATCGTCACCTAATACTTTACCCGTAAATGTATCCTTGTAGAACGCACGTTATGATGCCCTTGTAGGACGCATGCAATATCCTGAAATATATTTGCTGCAATAGCAAAAAGTCATTTTATTTCATGCTTTTTGATTGTGGTTGTCTATAATTTATACTTTTAAAATTGCGAGATTAAACATCTTAAAATATCGTAGAAAATAAAAAATGATATAAAGAAAATTGATTTCGAGCGAGGAGAAAAAGATAATTAAATCGAACCAACTTTTCCTTTAAGATAAAATTCTTCATTATATGGAATTCATGGATTATATTATATTATATTGGCATAGAAAGAATATATACTTTAAAACACTACATACTTTTTGTCTTTACGATAAAATATTACGAACTTGGATGATGTGTTAATCTCGGAATTTAAATTGGAATTTTTATATTTATATTCTTATTCTGATAGTCTGAAATTCTGATAGCTGAAAATTTCAGAATAAATTATTTTCGATCTTATTCTATTTCTTTGCAATATGGTGAATGATGTGTTTACAATTAAATGTTTTAAGTGTGATGCATAGGAATAGTCATATCAATGGATCTTGTAATTTTCATTTACAGATTTCCAGAAACTGGGCCTGTTCAGACAGATCTGTAGACATTTGTAATATTTATGCAAATAAATGTTTCTCAAGATGATAATAAACATATACATTTTACAAATATATTTTATTCTTATTTATTATAGATATGTATATTATTATACATGTATTATTTTGTAACATGTAGAAACAATTATAAAACATTCTGCTATTTGAATTCGCAATTAGAAGTATTAAATAATTTTACGAAGAAATGAGTATCGAGAGTAGTTTTCTGCGTAATATTTTCATAATATACGTGAGTAGCACAAATATCAGGAATGTTTTATAAATGCAAAATTGTATTTTTATATATATATATTAATAAATCGTCTGTATTTCAATCTGTCTTTTGATCAGTAATCATTATTACACACGGAATTTAATAATCGCGGTTGATAGCGGTATCGATTTTCGGTTTGACGCCTAGCCCATAATATTCGTTAATCCAATCTCTGTGTCGAGAGAGCGGCCCGTTTTCAGAGACAAGAAGCAGACCAATGTGCGGCACTTCTAATTGCGTTAGAGTAATTACGTTATACACGTTTCAGGCAATAACACCCTACCGAACAATAATACTGTACAGATACCGGCGTTATTACGCGCCGGAACAATTACTAAATCGTAATGAGCGACGTATTTGCAAAGGGCCATTGTAATTAGCCTCCACGCTTCAGATTTAATTACACGGTTCGAATATCGCATAGCCGCGGAGAATGCCAATTGTTATGTGTTATATATGCTAATAAAAAATTTGACATTACGTGATCTAGCGCGGTAATTACAATATTAATTAATTCAATACACAATGCTCGATAAAAAGCTGTATTTTTAATGAATTTTTCAGGCTTCACACACCAACATATCACGTATATTGTATATCTTGTTATTATTTTTTATGAATTTTTCAGGCTTTGCACCAACATATCACATATAATGTATATCTCAATATTTCTGTTTATCGTTTCTTAGTTATTATTATATCATGATCAATTTTTATGACATTGTGTAAGATATGGTTTTTATATAATATACATAAAATTTATTTTATGACATCTCGATGAAGGATACTTTGACTAGCTTAGACTCAAACTTTCGTAATTAAATTAATTGGCGTGCAAATTTTAGCAAACTTTAACTTTAAGTTGAAACTTGATTCAATAAAATCTGCATCTTTTGACTATGATCGTTTATGATCGATATGAATGTAATGCGATTACCTCCAGTTCCACGCCTCATTTCGGTCGTAACTTCATTCGCCTCTCGTAATATTCTGTCATGGATCACAGAGACAATAAAAAAAAATCGAGCAATCGCTCTAATCTGCTGTATTTATATCGCACTAAATTTAGATTACCGCATCTGCGCGACACGACATTTTCACCCTCGTGTTCGCCGAGGGTTGACCGCTTGTCTAATAATACTGTGGCATGATAAAAAAGCCCTCGGTGGAAGTTAATTGCCGCGGTTTGCCGGTTGTCCTCCGTCTGATGAATGGCATTATGACTTTACGCTCGTTTTAGTCCATCCTTCTTTCCTACCTTTCCTATCTCGGATACGCGGAACTGTATCGCGAGGCAAGGATATGTCATTCGACCCTCGAGTACACTATTAAAGGGATAAGTTAGAAACAAGAAAATATAGCAGATGGTTGTTCTCATTATCTTTTAATTTTACTGATTCTGTAAGTAGTATAAATTTTAATTGAGCAGAGTTAAATAGCAATTTGGGGGAGTTAGAAAGTGGCAATTGGGAGTTGGAAGGTGGGGAATTCGAGTTCGTTTGTCGAGTCTGTGCAGAGTTTACATAAGATATTCGAAATTATATTTTAAAGTCGCTAAATAGTGTTTCATCCTTACTTATTGTTAGAAAGAATTGTGTTCTTTCTTCGAACGGTTTAATAGAAGAAGCACAATGTGCTCGCTTCCTTTTGAACATGCCGCAGTTAATCCCTTTGGTATCAGATGCACTAAACAGAATAACTCCCTCCCCTCCCCCCTGTGTTCGGCTGGATTTTTGCACAATTGGCTCGATATGCTGGAACGTTCGAGCCAGCGCAACCCCCAACGCCAAATCTGGAGAAGGGTGGCAGTTACTACCTCGCGAGTTCGCGTGGGAGGTCACGTTGGATTGGGGGTAGGTGAGGCGACCCACGACCTTCGACCAATCGTGAACCTTGCTTGGCATTGGCCTGCCAATAGGAGTCTGCTTGGCGTAACCCCGCGGCGTGACCTTATGCGCGATTCTCTTCTTGCACTTTGCGCGAAAACTACCCCCGTCACTCACCTCGGCGAAATCACTTGCGTCAGCCAAAGCCACCCCCATCACTCGTTTGATTCATTGCTCATTGCTCGTTTTAGTTGAACGATTACAAATCCATATAGAGTGGTTTCGTAATAGAATCGTAATAGAATATCATTGTACCTATTTTTATAGTATCATATGTCCAATTGTCGCTTATTGAGGCTATTTTAATTGATAATATTATTTATGATAATATTGTATGCAATTGTTTAAAATAATTATAGCGATGACGGTTTTTAAATTTTTATAGTTCTTAGTAAAATATAAAAAAAAACATACATTAGTATATCTAACGGTGAATCAATTAGTGTTGATTAAACATAAAATAATGTGAATATGAATAACATTTAATGTATATGTCTTTATTTTGAATTAAAATTTTTATTTTTGAAATTACTTTAAAGCTTATAGACAATAGAGTAAAGCTATGTTTAATCAATGTTTACTAACGGAGAACTTACTCTAAATGTACCTTAGCAGGCTATGATAATGTTAACGCGAAGATGAAAGGATCGATTATATGAAACTCACGATTATTTACGTATTAACGAGTGCGTGTTTATTTATACACACCAAAAAGGATGTATTCGCCACCATCCCATTATCTCATCTCTCTGTCGAGGTAGAAGCATCGTTAATTTTGTCCGTTAAAGACCGTAAGAAAGTTAGATTGTACCAGCAGAGGTAACTTTACGTCAAGCTGAATGAAAGGTTGTGGCTTAATTTAATACCCAAGAAAATAATTTCTATCAAGCTGATTAAATTTTCCAATCCATATAGGAGTTGCCAGACGATCGCTCTTTAATAATTTTATTTATTAATCTGTCGTCCGATGATTTTACGGTTTTGCGATTCGTTGTACAGTCCAGGTTACTGTACATCTAATCATACTCTAAGACGTCTTCGGTTTTGACATATATGTATCGCCGAGGGCGCGTGCTCGTGAACACCCGGCCGACCCGGCCGCGTCATCCGGCCGTCAGAACGGAGCATCCGATAGCGTCGGTTATCGAGCGCGGGTGGCAAGGTAATTACTTCCTTGGGGTTGGAGACGTGCGCGCGCCCCACGGGGGTGGGGTCAGAGGTCACGCAGTCGGCTCCAACCGCCTCCGGACAGCCAATCAACGCTCTACGCTTCCTGTCTTCGGGGCGATACGATGCATGTGGATATCAACGCGTGCGCGGCCGTGCCCGGACACGCGTGTAGATGCGACATGCCGCCAATTGCACGACTGGCCAACTAACTCCAGGTGCGGTAATCGCGACGACACATTAGCTAATACGTCGACCTGGACCTAGACTTCCCGTGGTAGTTACTGAGCTCGCTACTCCCAACGCGGCTGCCATTAATATCTCCCTCGCGCACATAAATACGTATTGCTTATCAAGATGCGGAGATGTTGCTTATCGTGACGCGTTGCTTATCCAGATTTACTACGACATTTATCAAACTTAGGGTTTCCAATAAACTTGAAGACGATTTTCTTTTGGAAAAACTTATAAAATTATTATTCGCGATTTTTCAGCTCGTAATTTCAAATGACTTGGAGATTAAATTATAATTAATAGCTTTAATTTTCAACTTTGATCGTGATAATTGAGAATTAAGGAATGGATAAGTATTACATCTCTCGTTAGATTTTTTGATGACGTTAATTTTCTCTGAAAACGATATTGTTTTTAATCTTTTATCGTTTTTAGCTTAATTGTAAATATTTTTTTCAAACGTTTATAATTTATATTATACTCCTTTAAATTATTCATATTTTATTTTACTATTCTCTTCGAGCTGAGAGATATGCCTATTCGCATCAATCGCTATACGCCTAATTAAAAATTTGGAGCATCGAATGATTAAGGCACAAAATACAACTCGCATTAATTCAAGATAGCGATCTCTTTCTCTTGTTGCTCCTTTCCTTTTGCTTTACATCATTCTCGCATCGCCTTCTCTCTTTTCCGTTCATCGCGCTCGGTGTTCGCTCCGTTCTTCCCGTGCCAACCGTGGTTTCATTAGCCGTCTAATCTTTCTTACAACCTTGGAAGGAGGATGGGAACTTAGGCTTCTCTCGCTTAGGTCCGAGCAAGATCTTCTTTCCCTCGACCGTCGGGGGATCTGGTCGAGTGACTGATGAACTGGCCACTAATTACCTTCTCTGTGCCGTACAATACCAGCGTATTAATAACTCGCATTTATATGCCTGTGAAAAATGGACGTTCGCTTCCTTTCGCTCTCGTTCGTTCCTTCGTTCTCTCTTTATTCGATGATCAAAGCGTGCAAAGCACTCATGCGATTGTGTGGACAGATAGATGCATACGCGTAGATATGAAAGCGCGAATGAAAGAGATAGCGTCCGACCGGATTGCACCACCAACTTGTTGTTTTACAATACTATATTGTCATTTTGCAACAGTATATAAATTCAAAATGAAGGACGGATAATGCTGCTATTAAACGAAACGAGATAGATTACTGATATAATCGACTTTGCTACGTTATGAAACATGAAGTTACGTTCATCGTTAAAACGCGTCTATTTGGGATTAATAATTAAAATTTAATTTGTTTGAATGAAAAAGTCAAATATAAAATTTCGTAAGATATAATGTGCAATTAAAGCAGTGTGTTATTAAAGAGATTCAAGTTTTCAGTATAAAAATAGATTATTGTTAAAACCTCAATTTCTCTATGGATTATTTAATAAGAAATTCTTAAGATACAAATAAAGTATTAACGATTTTGAATATATCTTACATTTATATGTGTGTGTAACTGCACT